TCAGCTCTTTCTTCGGACATTGACGTGATTGATTCGTATGACGTCGCCGAGGCACGCAGATCTACCGGTATGCACAGCCTAAGTGAATCTACCGTCGATATCCCGCCTCACCCGCTGGCGCATCCCCCGTCTCCTCCGATGACCATTCAACATCCGGGCTCTGTCGTTTCTTGTGCATCGCCGTTGGATAATGTCTTGTTCCAGGCCCAGCCCTTGACGCCTGATACCTCTCCCAGGCGGAAGAAAGGGGAAAACCGCAGCTCACGGCCGAGGCCTGTGCAGCATTTCTCCACTGACGTTCTTCTCATTTCAGAAAAGAACCACAACATGGACCCCGACCATGTCCCTTTTATCCTGGCTTGCGAGTCGCAGGTTCTGGCACAGCAAATGACACTGGTGGAAATGGCAGCCCTGAGCGAAGTAGACTGGCGTGACCTGGTCGAGATGAGATGGGGCAACGGGTCCCCCAACGTCTGCAACTGGGTCGAATTTCTCCGCGATCAGCGCAAGGGCATTGACCTGGTCGTCGGCCGCTTCAACCTCATGGTGCGATGGGTCTTGTCGGAGATTGTCCTCACGCGCGATCTCCACGAGCGCGCGCGTACCATCACCAAGTACATCCACACAGCCGTGCATGCGCGCCGGATGTGCAACTATGCCACCATGCTCCAGATCACCGTTGCACTGTCCTCGTCGGACTGCACGCGGCTACAGCAGACCTGGCAACTTGTCCCTGCGGAGGACCGGCGTCTGTTTAAGGACATGGAGTGTTTGATTCAGCCGGTTCGCAACTTCCATGATCTTCGCGTTGAGATGGAGACGGCCAATTTGCAGGAAGGCTGCATCCCTTTCGTCGGTATGTTTGCCTCCCCCTTTCCCTTGATACTATCTTGGATACTAGCAATTCTGCACAGGTCTGTACGTGCACGACCTCACCTACAACGCGCAGAAACCAGCCCAAGTCCCCAGCAATGCCGGTGGACTGCTCGTCAACTTCGAGCGCTATCGCACCACCGCCCGGATTGTTAAGAACCTTCTCCGGCTGATTGACGCCAGCACCAAGTACCGGTTCGAGCCCATCCAGGGCATCGTCGAGCGGTGCCTGTGGATCGCGTCACTTCCCGAAGACGAGATCCAAGCTCGCAGTAAAGAGCTTTTTTGATTTGATTCTTTCTTTCTCTCATATACCCTCGCTTTACCGCATCTCTTCTGTATTTATACTTGCATCCACCCTTGTCCATCCTTGTGGCCGTTTCCTTTTTTTCATCTCACACTTTTCGTTGGAGCGTTGCATCTTGCATTTTCGAGCCTGGAATTCGGGAGATATATCACGGTCGCTTAGTAGATAATCCATTCTTCAACTGTTTATACATTATTAGGTAGAGTGGGGGACAGGTTTCAGCTAGAGCGTACCGAATAGTGCGTCATCAAGGGCCCCCGTTCCTGCGGACCGCCCTGGGCATTCACTCTTCTTCCTTCCACCTCAAAACCCCAAAGCCGGACCGAGGAGGGCCACCCCTCTTGACTTATCACAGGACCAAGAGAGAGAATACCATTCGACATCTCCTTGGATGTCCTGCCTCACGCTCGCTCGACTCCTTCGACTGCCAGATGGACACGCCCGAGCCACGGCGCGGGGCTTCGGAGGAGGTTGAGGTCGATGAATATGGCCCGCCCGCGTCGCCCACCGAACAGCTGCCCGATGACCTGCCCAAGTCGCTGGATGACCGTCGCTCGGTGCCGGTCTTCCACGAGACCGAGATGTACGATGCCTGGCAAGGTGCGTTTATTTGGTCCCCACCTTCAACAACGAGTGCCCGCGTGCCCGCTGCCTCGAAGATGTTCTGGGTAGCTAGCTGCTAACACCTTGGCTCCTCCGCTCACCAGGACAATCGCAATACCTGACCACCCCCGTAGCCGCGAAGCCTCTTACCTTCAGCCTAGCGCTCGATGACCACTCCCACGACAATGACCCCGAGCTGCGGTACGGTCGCGATGCCGAGGACAGCGATGCCCGGCTGATGGAGATGCTTGCCGCGCAAGCCGCGCACCGCGAAGGGGACTCGCTAGGCGCGGACGAGGAGAGTATCGCCACGAATGAGAAACTGAGCGAGGTCGAGAAGAAGCGGACTCTACAGAAAGCCTTGAATATGGCCGCGAGCAATGGCGACGTGGAACGGGTACGCAAGCTGGTGCAGGGACTGGCGAAGGAATACGTTGATGTCAATTTACCTGACGAGGAAGGGACGGTGCCGTTGATTTATGCGAGTTGCTTTGTGGGTCATAACACTCCTGCTGTCTACGAAGGGAAAGCACGCGGAGAAAGAAGGCTAATTGGGCTTGCGTTAGGGACATTATGATGTGGTCGCTGCTCTTATTGACGCGGGCGCCTTTGTCGATAAGCAGGATCGCAACCAGTGGAGCGCGCTCATGTGGGCGATGACAAACCGACACAAGACGATTGCGAAGCTCCTTCTTGATCATGGCGCGTCTCCGGATATCAAGTCTTCGTCTGGAGGCACGGCCTTGGATTTTGCACAGCCGGGCAGCGAGATCTCCGAGTATCTCCATGAGAATGGCTATAATTTTGGTCCTGCCATTGAGGATGATTTCTACGACGACGGGTTGGCACACGGGCGGTTCGAAGAGGAGATTGCGGAAAATGAAATGAAGCGCCGCATGATGATGGAGGAAAGCGCACTCAACTTGGAAGTCGACTTGTCCAGTCTTGGAATGGACGAGCAGTTGGAGGTGAGCTCTTCAGCTGTAATATGGATGGAAAATTTCCTGCTTACTCTATCCTGACGCAGACTCTAGATGATGATGAATTGGAGGAAGAGCAGCAAGAATTTGCCTGGGACAGGTGTCTGAACGACCAGATGTTTGTGTTTCAAGATCACGAGTTGGAGCGCATCTTGGATATGGTTATCACCAACATGACGCCCCAAAGAACTCCCTCCCAGAAGCCGGTGCCGGCGAATCTCATCTTCCTAAGTGCACGTTATGCACACTACCACGCGAGCCCCGAGCTGTTGGCCACTCTGCTCACCTCCGCAACGGACAAAATCAATGATGTTGTCGAACGCCACCAATGGGACATGACCATGCAAGCATTCTGGATCTCCAATGCTACGCTGTTGCTCCATTATCTGAAGAAAGATGCAGGTTTAGTGGAGGCGACGGTCCAGTTCCAGCTCCATCTGGCGGAACTGATCAACGAGATCTTCGTTCTTATCATTCGGGATGCCGAACGCCGAATGAACAAAATCCTGGATGCGGCAATGCTGGATCATGAAACCATCCCCGGCCTGGAGGATATTGCATTCCAAAACGAGTGGAAGCTGTTCCGCTCCAAAAACAAAGCCAAGCCTGAGCCTGCAGAGAAGCGATTCCGGCCACCTTCCCCTCGCCGGCGAGCGCAGGTCTCACCCCGGAATATCAACTCATTGCTCTCGTCGACTCTGTTCGTGCTCGATCTCTACGATGTGCACTCCGTCATCACGACCCAGATCCTTTCTCAGCTCCTCTACTGGCTTGGCGCGGAGCTTTTCAACCGCATCATGAGCACGAAGCGCTATCTTGCGCGGACCAAAGCCATGCAGATTCGCATGAATGTATCCACCTTGGAAGACTGGGCGCGCAGCAACAACCGGCAGCCCGAACACTACGAGAATGGGTCCACGACCAGCACTGGCGAGACGACGATGGACTCTGCGCGACGACACCTGGCACCGGTCATCCAGCTGCTTCAATGGCTGCAATGTTTTTCTTCTCTTGGAGACGACCACGAGTCTCTGGTGACGACGTTGCTGCAGTTGCAACGGCTTACTCCCGCGCAGCTCCTGCAAGCCGTGAAGTCGTACCGTCCAGAAGTCGGCGAAAAGGGTCTCACCAAGCAGGCAATGAAGTTTCTGCTCGAGTTACAACGCGACCCAACCCTGTTATCCCGCGAGCAGCAGAAGATCCTCATCGAAAAGCAAAATGCAGCAGCCGCTGCCCCGGCGCCTGACGGAGCGGGCGATGCTCGTCCCACGACGCCCACAAAAAACCAGCAGCAGGCTCCGTCCGCGACCACATCTCCCGAGCACGGCGTCACAGCATCCCCCGGCTCGGTGGTCTCCCGGCCCGCTAGTATTGCTGTCGTAACCGGGGCCGAAGACCGCTCAAGCCAGCGCGGCGTTTTCCTCGACCCCACGTTCTTCCTCCCCTTCTCCCTGCCGACCAGCACCGATATGTTGATTAGTTATGGCGCTGGCTTCGGCGGGACGAACCGCGAGCGAGCGCGCAAGTATATTCCCACCGTCCCGCCGGAAGTGCTGAGTCGGTTTGACCGCAGCGACATATAGAACATAACTGGCAGTGACGAAATGCAGAGTTGATACATGACCCATGTTGCTAGGTCGTATATCACGGATTGCTCGAGTAGGCCCCAATTAAGTTCAAACCGCTAGGCCTGTAACGGTCCTTGGTCTTTTGTTTAACTAGCGGCCCCTATCCCGTGGGATCGGCGACGCCCCGGTGGATTTCCACCCGGCCAGCCAACATATGGGGCCGGCGATGATTGGAAGAAGTAAGAGATGCGAGTCACTGCCACTAATAATAATCTACTGCAACCCATTCAACCCAGCGGACCGATCCGTGAGTGTGAGTGTGGCCCTCGTTTGTTCTCGACTCGGTATAGTCGCAATGACTACGTACTATTTTCCCCATTGAGCACTAGTGATCCTTTCTGGTTGGTTTCTGCTCCCCCCGATTCGTCACACGTAATCGGAGGGTGTCTGTGCTCGACGGAGGAATACTGTTTACGGGAGTCCGTTAGGCTACGCCTTTTTCTTGTTCGGGCAAGTCCAGATCGGCGCAGATTACTATTTCCTCATTTGGTAACAGCAGCGCCCTCTTTCTCTTCTCTTCCCTCAACACTCTCGCCCTCATTTTCGCTCTTGTTACTCTTCCTTCTCCAACATGTTAGCCATCACCACTACCCCATTCCTCGACCTATGATGATGCTTACTGCGAAGCTCTTCCAGAGTGACTCTCTCGGTTTCAATGATTCCTCTGCGCCTCGCCGCTCGATGCCCACACCGCGGTCTTCGCCGCACCTGTGTGAATCCCTAATGAATTCGTCACATCGAGATCTCCCCCGGCCGGATGGTGCCCAGCTGCCGCTTCCACCAACCACAGCCATGTCAAACCGGCTGCCGCCCGTGACAACGTTTTATGGAAATGAACACTCCGTGCAGCAGTGGCTCCAGGCCAAGACGGAGGAGGATCGTCGCGCACAGGAAGAGGAACGCACTCGCCAAGAGACAATGAGGCTGGAGCAGCGCCGCATCGAACAGTCTATGCTGGCCGACTCGCTGCATGCAGGCGTTCCGCCGCAAATGATCCCGTTGATCTTCGCGGGTATCGGTGGAGGCGCGAATGCCCAGTCCACCATGGAGATTGTTCGCCAGTATATAGCGCAGACATCGAATACCCCCACTCCCCCTGCAGGCGCTCAGTTTTCTGCTCAGCTACAGTCGCACGAGGTTCCAACTACCAACCCGTCGCCCGTGCCATCGCAACAGTACCCACCTCAGCGTCCTCCCGGGGAACCAAAGCGTCCCGGTTCCTCAACGCGCACTCTTCCCGCACCTCCATATGCAGCTCAGCAACCCCAACCTACAGCCCCGGTGGGTGATCGCAGTCTCCCACAGCCGCCAACCATGAGCAGTTCCTCGACGCAGCCAGCTCCCGGACGTCCGCTTGGGCCTCCGTACCCAGCTGATGCTGCAGGAACCCGGTTGCCTCGGCCGGATGTCAGTGCAATTCCGCCGCAGAGCCAGACGACCAAGCTAAGCGCCACACAGTCTGGATCAGCCACGTTCCAGGCTCCAGCAACCCCAGCCAAGCCGGAAAGCCGGCCGCGTCGCTCTTCTCCTGGAATTTCCTTTCATCACTGGGTCCCTCCAGCTAAAGGTCGTTCCTCCAATATATCGCCAAATAAGGCTCAACGTGAACAGACGCCGTCATCAAGTACCCCCTCCTACCTCCAGTCCGACAACCAGAGCTCCCCAGGTCGGAAACGAAAGTCTCAGAGTATGCATAGCCAGGTTCTTCCACCGCCAGCTCGCAGGACGGACTCAGGCACGTTGGATATTAAAGCCGATAGCGAAGTGCCCAACTCACAGGAACCACGAGCTGGTGACCAGAATGTTTCCGAGCAGCCGAGCGAGTCGAAGGCTGAGGCAGATGGCCCTACTCTCAAGAAGGAGCCAGACACATTAACAGGCAGTGACTTCAACTCCGAAACTGGCAGTCAAACTCCGGATCTGAATACTAAAGACCAGCAACACCCATTTGACACCGACAATGGATCTGCTGCTTCGCGGACCAAAGGCTCAAGCACTCGTTCTGGCCGCTTTAAGAACCAGTCCTCGTCCAATGACATTTCCTCCGCCGCCTCAGTCAACAAAAGTGTTGTCTGAGAACAACTGCATAACGCTCAACCTGGGGGTGGTAAGGCAGACCACATCCCGCACCATTCTACCCGACGCAAAACCCCTATTCATATGTCCATTCTTGAGGCCCCATGGATCAAGAAACCCGAGCGCTTCCTTTATTCTGTACCCGCATAGATACCAATATTTTTCCTCTCGGCACACAGCGGCCCACGGCATGTGCATTATGTTTGCTATCATGAGTCTTGTGTATGTTTATACTTTCCGGGCAGGCGGCTGGACCGCCTGCTAAATTATCTCGATTCATACGTCCTCTAAAGCTGTTGTACAATTCTGACTGTATTGCTGTTTGTTCTACATAGTCATGACCTGCTGGGTCCACGGAAGGCTTACTTACACCTTGAGTTCTGTACAATGGCCAGTCCGAGGTAAAAGACGAAATAATAATCAGCTTGCATGACTGACAACTTGACCAAATTGGGGGAATGCTAGGCTATATTGACAGCTATCAAAGCACGCTCCTATCACAGCGTCCGTCCTTACAATCGTCTAGCCAATCTACTCTATACCTGTTCCTGAGAAATCCAGGGTATAACGCAGCACAAAGCAAGATCTAGATTATTCATGTTCCACACCATGCAGTTAGCCAGCTGATTAAACATACCACATATCAGGTCCGGGGACAAATATCCTCCGGCCGAATGAGGTTGTACGAGTTGAATAGAAGCTATCCATGAGACAGAGACAGACCAAATCATAAGAAGGCGCTACAACTGTCTATCTCATCATATACCCATCTCATCTCAAAACATTCACTCGGTCTCAACACAGGATCCTCGCTTCCTTTTTCTATACAATTAGTTAGCTAACTAACAAGCCAATGTGATTATTGCTATCATCACCAACAGTGCATTTTCCCCCCATCGCATCAGCCATTCTGCCCACCGCCCTCCGGGGAACGCAGGCCATGAATATCGTCGAAATGGCCGAGACAACGGACATTCTCAACGCAATGGTCTCGAGGAACGTTACGCCTATGATTCCTACCAGGGATTCCAGCTTTGTATCCCTGGCTGTTTGCCTGTTGAGTTGACCTGTCTGCCTCCTATCCTTGTATGTATAGACTCTGGTGAAGCTGAAGGTGAAAGTGGATGGAAATGGAAATGGGAATTCTTGGAAAAGAAAAAGCGGCTAATGCGAGTTTTGGGGGATGTTAATTTCACTTCGAGGTAACCTTACGTTAAATTTACTCCTTTCTGGAATGCCATGTATACAATTCCTCAAGTCCCAGAAATTGCAGCAGCTTTGGTGTATCGTCCTTCTCCTTTAGATGCGGAATCGCCACCGACGGACCATATCTCCCCCAGAACGGACCCTCAAAGTACTCAGGCCAGAAGCCCGCATACTCCCAGTCGATAATTGCGTTGATCTTCAATGTCTCCGGATCAACAATGATATTGGGCTGCGACAGGTCATTATGGCAGAAGACGAATTCATCACTCTCGGACTGTCTCCTTGGTAAGAGATCATGTTTTGAATATCTCATCACTCGATAGGGTGGAATAACAATGCCCGAAGGACCACCGATAGTATTGGACTTGAGTTTCCTCAGAGTCGCCAGATGCTGATGGAGTTCGACCTCGACGACTTTTTTCTGATCGTCTGTAAGGCTCTTCATGTCGACACCCTCGATATACTCCATAATGACGAAGTACGAGCCATCGACCTCGAACGCACCGTACAGCGTCGGAACAGGTATATCGGTGTTGCGTCGGATAAAGCTCATGCCTCTGCCTCATTCTGGAGTCTTTCCTTTCCCAAAGCTGGGACGTGAGTCTCCTCTCGGATATTCGTTATGTACTCGCTTGGCCGTATGCTTCTCTTGATAAAAACATTGCCGCGTCGGTACCACCCCCTTTCAGGGCCCACAGAAGAGAGTTCCTCCGATGAGGCAGATGTGATATCTGAGGGTGCCGGATTCTCTTCTGTGGGCTTGACTATACCGTGGTGTTCTGACATGGCGCTTTAGGAGATTTGCTCGATCACACGAGGGAAAGAAGATGAATAAGATCTGCACGATGCAAGGACTGGGAAAGATAGGATATAAACACCGGACTTACTAACACTACTGCCACTAGAAGTAAGGAATGAAGCACTAGGATGATCAATAAGATTGAGGCTTAATGCGTTCGGACCTCCTCCAAACGTCAGCCGCATCAGTCTGCTGACACTGTACGAAGCGCTAGATTCCAAATCTCGAGACGAAAATATGCGAATAAGAAAATGAAATCTCTTGAAACTCTAGTTTTATTTCATTGACACTTAATAATACTAAAAATAATATAGGGGAGGGACCCCCGGCCAACAAGAACCTCTAGGCCCAGCCAAAAGGTGGTAAAGGTAAGCACAAAGAGAATTGAAATCAAAACAGGAACAAGGAAAAGGGTTGAGAAGGGTTGAGAGCAGATAGGATAGGGGAGGGTAGAGACGACAAAGGATAAAAAAAAAAAAACGGTCTAGAATAATAATAGGTGGACGCGGGGCATCGGATTGACGGTCCTTGAAGTATAGGGAAAAGCAAATGGACAAGGAGTGACCGGTGTTGGTCGAAGAGGAAGGAGGAATGCCATTAGGGGAAGCGGTTGGTGGAGTATAGCATGGATAGACATCAGAATCGAACAGTGAAGTCAATATCGTCAAGACAGGGGGACCATGATGGACAATGATTAGGGTGGGAGTGAGTAGTGGTAGTCACAAGTAGTAGACAAGTAGTAAGCGAAAAAAGAAAGGGGTATATAAAAAAATTAAGAATGAGGGGATTTCTTGCGGCGGTGGACTTTCCATTCCGCCTTGGCGACGCGCATGAACAGTTCCACGTCCTTGATAGGCACCCAGCTGGTGAGGACTTTCATGGCGTTTTCGAAGTCGGACTCAAGAATGATCTCGCGCATGCCGTCGATAAGAGCCGCAGATGTGGCATGTAGAACATCCAGTCCCTGGCCGAAAGAGCTGGCAGACGGGGCGGAGGAGGCTTCTTTCTTTTTCCCGGATGAGGTGGACGGCCACCCAGTGGCGTCTTCTGCATCCCCCAGGAGCATGAAGACATCCCATACCCGCAGCTGTGCGGGGAACGGGATGGAGTAGTTAAAGAGAGTGAGATACCAGCGCGTCCCGTAGGCTGTAGGTGGCACGCCGACTTCATTCAGCTTGGTGGCGACTTCACCACCTGCCAGCCACTCCCGTTCAAAGTCGGAAAGGGCTTCCATGAGTCCCGCGAACCCCTCCTTATATAGCTGCTCTAGTCCTCGGAGCTGCCAGAGCCGTGCCAGCATAACGAAGGCGTGCTCTTCGTCATAATAGGCTAGAAGCGTAGCTGCCAGAGCTGCCATACCTTGCACGTAGCCGGTATCGGGAAAATATAGAGACATGGCGTGAAGCACCCGGAAGAGCAGTCGTTGGCCACCACGATACCGTCGCCGGAACATGATGTGGCTCGTGATAGTCCGCGGCACATCGATATCAATTTGAACGTCATCAGGCGAGGAGACGTACTGATATTCGTGAAAGGCGTCAATAAGATCCCTCTCCGAGGGACTGTCCTTGCGCCGCTTTGCGCTGGCCTCGAGAAACGAGTACCATGCTGTCGACCGCCATCGGTCCGGGATGCCTTTCCACGTCCGTTCGATTACCTTCGAGCTCTGCGTGTCGAACTCAAATGTCATGCCACCGCCATCCCGGCGCTTCTTGGTAGGCTTGGCCATTTTCGTCCATTTATCTTCGCGATCCCACTCCTTCTTTCGCACCGTCCGGGACATCGGGGAGTCCTCCGCTTCGTTCTCGGGAACCTCATACGGGAGCGTTAACATATCACCCGCCTCGTCCTTGACTTTCCGGTCTCGGTTGTGAGGGAGATGATTCGCCGCGGTGCGTAAGCGAGACGTTGAGCGCCGTATTGGCGCACTTTGCGTGCTCTGTGATGAAGAAGGACGATTGGATAGGGAGCTTTGGCTCATTTTGCGACTTGGAGACCGGCTAAGCAACGAGCGATTGCCAGACCCTGGCCGAAGGGAATGCTTCCGCCGCGGCGTTTCAGAGGCCAGAAGAAGGCTTGTGGTGACTCGTTGGAGGGGATTGAGCTCCGAGCCGGCGGGGTTTTTCGTCGTCGTCGGCGCGCGGATGAAGCCATACCGATCCACATCGGCCGCGCCGACGTTCTTCCAATCTTCAATTCCTCCAGAGAGTTCTTCCTCCTCTCTCTTCGCCCTCCTAATACGTTCTGTATCAGTGGAGGGCCTTGTCTTCTCCCCGTTCGTCTGAGCAGAAGGCTCGGCCGCACCCTCCTCCCACAGTACACTATTTTCCATGGCCATGGCCTGGGCAACTTCCGAGTCGGTAACATTATCTTCACCCTTCTCATACATGAGACGAACTCGCCGCGAGAGCATATCCTCGTCTGCCGAGACAGCGCGGCATTGCAGACTTGTTTGCCGGGGCCGAAGGAGACTCTGCGGCCGGGCAGGTCGCGGAGTCACTTTCGGAGCACCATTCCCATCCTCATTAACACTCGGAGCGATGGACGAAGCGGGCGCCCTCTCAGAATCTTGCCGCTGTGTAGATTGCCGATCCGGCTGCTTGGGCCGCGGGCGCTTAGATCTATCCTTGACGAGGAGGCTCCCACTGTTGGAGAATTTCAACGCCTGCGTCCCCAGATCATCCAATTTCCCCGTCGGTATATCGAGACTGATCCCGCTGAACGCCGATTCGATCTGAGGCACCGGCGGCGGGGGTGGCTCGGAGCTGGTCTTCGCATCAAACTCCGCGGACCTCTTCCTCAATGCGCTCCATTTGCGTTCGGACCATCGCGAGCCTGGGCGCGAGCTGGGACGGGAGTCCGTATCATTGACGACGATACTGGGAACACTGCGTAGGGAGGGCGAGGGCGAGGGCACACCGAGTGCTGAGCGATTATCCTCCGACCGTCGGCTACGACTGTCCTCCCCTGTCGGCGTCGAGGGCATGAGGCCCGAATCCTGCCTTGCATTCTTCAGCGCTGAACGGACCGGGTTGGGCGATGTTGACGCGGCGCTTGTGCTCAGCGATCGACCATCTGGGCCCGCGGGCGCATCATCGGCGGTTCTTGGGAGGGACAAGGATCGAGTCGCGGGAGCGTCGACGGTGATGGTGTCTGCGAAGGGCACGGCGTGTACCGGACGGGCGACCGACCGAGGCGATAACGATACAGAAGCTTTATCCACCATCATCCCGGCATGACCGACAGGAATTGGGCGGTGGTGAGGCTGGGCGCAAAGGGTGCGCGGAGGGGGAAGCGAGGGGACGACAAGGAAGGGCAATCGATAATTACACAATCAGGAGGCGAAAGGAGTGACTAGTAGCGATTCAGGCAGCATGGCTCAACACCACGACATGGATGGGGAAGAATCGGTTCGCTGAGGGAGAGAGCGAGAGAACAGAAGAGGAAGAGAAAGAAGGAGGCAAGGCAACGGGCTTGGCGGGAGGGATCAATTCATTCCACAGGAAGAATGAGAGTTGCGGTTCATACTATCGTGTTGTTGAAAATGGACCAGGGTGACTGACCGCTGTGTTTCAATAATGTGGAGTGCGCTAACGCTTATAGTAGATCGGTTTATTATTAGCAAGTCGCAGGTAGAGTAGTTGCTACAGCTGATAATAAAATAAAAATCATTCCATGTACAGAATCCCTCAAACGCCCATGGCTGCTATACCCATTCCAACCGACTCATTCATGATCATCATCACATCGCTATCGACCTAACTATGCCACCGCCGTCCCGTTGACCGACTGCGACGGGCGTGGCCGAGCCTGCTCGACGGGCTCCCGGGGCAGCAGCTCGATCTGGCGTACCAGAAAGCTCTTCTCGTCCATAAATTGGTCATCGTCCGTCCGGTCCTCCAAGAATTTGGGCAGGAATCGCAGCAGCCGGTCCCGGTTGTTAATGAGAATGCGCTGGACCGCCACCGATTTGGTCGGGTTGGCCACGAACACCTTGAAAACGTGGAACCCCTCATATTGCACCATCTTGCGGTCATCCCGCAATAGCTTCATGCACAGCTTGAGGTTCTCCCCGCTCTCCACATATGCCACCATCACGCTGTAGTTGGCCCGGTCCAGCAGGATCTCGCCCAGCAGCTTGATGCTTTGTCGCTTGGTCACGTACGAGTCTGACTGTATTAGGGTGTTGTTAAATCGGCCGAAGAACAGATCAAAGTTGGTGGCTAGGTAGGAAGTGACGAGGCTTTTATGACGCGTTAAGATCTCCTGTAGCAGAGGAATTAGCGAACCATGTAGCCGGGCACAAGGCAGAATCTAAACCTACCCGGAATGTCGTAAACGCATCTGCGCTCACTTCGAAATTGCCCTTGTCGATCCACTCGAAGAAATTCCAGAACACCCCGTTCCCACTCTGCAGCACGCTGGGCTTCAGCCCGGGCAGCCGCACAGCGGGCTCTCCCTCGTTCGATTGATCATATAAGACGACCGCCGTGATAACATCGTATTTGAGGGCTTCCCTCAAAATGACACCGCATGGCATGGCACTCTGGGGGTGGGCGTAGCCGCGACATAGCTCGATGATGACCTCGGGTCGGTGGTGGACCAAGTAGGAGACGACGGGCGGGTCTTTGTCGGCAGCATAAGATGCTGGTCGGAAGCGGAGGATATGTGAGAATATGGTCTGAGTATCTTTCCGCGCCTCAAATGGGAGTAGATGGAGTGCTCGGGACAGCTCGTAGAGTAGATCCTCTTGCAGGGTGACTTGGACCAGGGCGTGGACCTGTTCTGGGGATGTGTTGACCTCTAGAGTGTCCAAGGTGTTAAAGAGAATCCGACTAGAGGGGGGAGAGACCAACCTTGTGTGCCTTGGACGATGAGTTTCATCTGGGTGAGCTGTTTGGACAGCTCCTCGTCGAGCTTGGGGGCATTGGGGGAGTCCTGAATGTTCTGCAGCAGGTCCTTGGTGGCCCGCACAATATCGGCCGGCTGCCGCGACCGGCTACGGCCGAATAAGAAAGACATGGTCTGGGGGGTGGGGGATGTAGGTATTATTGCAAACCGAACGGATGATGCGAAGTGATGAATAAACAAAGACCGGGGCAACGGGGAGTGGCAGCCTGAGGCAGCAACTGATAATTAGCCCTGATAAGGATTTTTGATTTTTGATCGTGTTCTTGCCCCTCTAAACATTTTACTATTTGCACCATACAATAATGGCTGACTCTCTTTCCGTGTCGGACTCGTCGGACTCTAGCAACGAGGAGGGCTGGGAGGATCTCGAGCCCGAGGACGAGTCGCAGCCTGTTGTAGGCCTTTTCACTGGCGAAGTGTTTCCCGATGTGCGCTCCATGCTTAAGGAGTGCAAGGACAAGCACAATTTCGACTTGGTGAAGATCCAGAAGGACCTCGGTATGCATTGCGTCAACTCCCGAAAGATAACGAACTAACTGTGGATTCTATTGCAGGCCTGGACTTCCTGGACATGATCAAGCTGGTCAACTATGTTCGCACCCAAGTCAAGTCTGGGAACAAGACACCCGATGTCTCGACCAAGGCCCAATTCGACGACGATGCCTACCTCAAACCCGTACTGGAAGACGACGCCCTTCTGTACAGCTTGGATGACATCGCCGATGACCAGGGCGAAGACGCAGCCCCCGGTACCGAAGCCGAGCGCCAGGTGCTCGCGCTCCAGGAGGATCTGGAGCGTCTTCAGACCCAGTTCTCGGAGTATAGGCTCGCCGTGCAGAAGTCCATGGAGGACCAGTTGTCCAAGGAAGAGGAAAAGCTTGACAATGCTCCGTCTGCCCAGACGGTGGATAGAATCCAGGAGGCCGAAGATGGTTACTTTGTATCCTACTCCTACAATGGTATGTTTCCACCCCAGGATGGCTTGGCACCTTGGCTTATCTGTCTATTCAAGGAATCCATGAATCCATGCTGAAGGACACCGTGCGGACCGATTCCTACCGCGATTTCGTCTACGACAACAAGCACCTTTTCAAGGACAAGGTGGTTCTGGACGTGGGCTGCGGCACCGGCATTCTGTCCATGTTCTGCGCTCGCGCGGGTGCGAAGAAGGTGATCTCAGTCGACAACTCGAACATCATCGACCGCGCCAGGGAGATTGTGTACGCCAATGGACTGGGCGATGTCATCACGTAAGTGCTCCATTTCAATACACTCTTGGTATACCACTAACATTGAAAAGATGCATCCGCGGCAAGATCGAAGAGGTGACTCTCCCCGTGCCGCAGGTCGACATCATCATCTCCGAATGGATGGGTTATGCGCTTCTGTTCGAGGCAATGTTCGACTCCGTCATCTACGCCCGAGACCGCTACCTAGCCCCGGACGGTCTCATGGTCCCCTCGCACGCCACGCTGCGGATCGCGCCCTTCGCAGACCCAGATTTCGTCGCATCGCACATCTCCTTCTGGCACAACGTGTACGGCTTCGACATGAAGAGCATGCTCATGAATATCTATGACGAGGCTCTTGTGCGCAGCATCCAGCCGAAATCCACGCCTGGCGATTCTACGGTGTTCCTCCCGCTTCCGCTGCACACCATCACCGTTGACGAGTTGACGTTCCTGAAGGACTTCCAAGTCACCTTGAAGGAAGATATTGACGCACTGGATGGATGGACGATCTGGTTCGACATCTTCTTCATGCCTTCGAGGGAGTCTACCGTCCCAGACGAGGCTGTGCCAGCAGATATGCAGAAGAAGGGCATCGTCGCCTTCACTACCGGCCCGGATGGAACGGAAACTCATTGGCAACAGGCTATTTGTCTGATTGACCATGGGAAGCACACTCCCAGGCCCCTCAAGAAGGGCCAGGTTATCACGGGCAAAGTCGGCTACGAGAAGAAGGAGGCCGCGTCCCGGCTGTTGGATATCAATATTCAGTGGGAGGGCGATGGCGAGAAAGGCGCCCAGAAATGGGACCTGAAATGAAGGAATAGAGGTGCAAAAGTTGATGTTCTTTCCAGTTTACTTTTTATTTGATAGATAGAGGATTATACCCAGCGAGATATATGACCTGGCTATGGTTTCCAAAGTCTAGTTGCATTGAAAGGGGTTGTTTGAATTTCAAAAATAATAGGGTATCCTGGTACATGTAAAATATAAGCCAATGCGCCTAAGCTCTGCCTCTCTCTGTCTTCCTTGAGCGCTGATCTTTGTCAGAGGCTCCGTCGTGATGGCGATGACTTCGCGATGAGGAGTGCCGGTGACTCCGATGCGAGCGATCTCGACTACGATCCCGGTGGCTGCTCCGATGTCGATGGGGGGTGCTCCGCCGATGCCTATCGTCACACTCCCGTCCAGCCGGCGCGTCAAGCTGGAAGTCTTCCAAACTGCCTGCGGATGGTGACCGTTTCCGACGGCGCAGACTCGACCGCTGCCCTTCTTCAGCCTTCAAGGCCTCGATCTCCCTCCGCTTCTGCTCATTCCAGCGTTTCCGCTCCTGCTCCGTGGCTTTCAGCTGCCTCACGCCGCGCTTGATAGCCGCAAGAGGATCATTCGCATCCATCCGCGCCTTCTCCCTCTCCTTGCGCCGGGGATCTTCATTTCCCCAGACATCCTTTTCAGACATGGAAGCTGGCGCTCGAGCGTCCTGCTCTGCGGACGAATACCACGGCCTCCGCCCCGCTATCTCCTTGAACCCTGCCGCATTCGAGAATCGCATGGTATATTGATCTTCATAGCTTCGTTTCTTCCGCGAAGCCTCGGCCTCGGCCTCTGGGTTTTTCTCTGCCTTTGGTTTCGCTGCAGGAAACAGGTTGATATGGCCTGCGCCATCTACGAGCGGTGCTTGGACATCACTATCCTTACGGCGGGAGGTGAGAACCAGCTCGTCGCGTTTCGCAGTTGCTCGCGCGGCATCGTCGCGCGCTAGACGGATATCGCGGTCCGTGTCGTCCTCGCCCGCGAGACGTCTTCTTTTCCGGTATCCGCCCGTGTCATCGGTAGCCTTGCGGTCTGATCGGGGGGCTCGGTCGGATGATACAGGCGGCGGCGGTGGAGGGGGAGTGGATGGACGTTCACCGCGGAGGATCTGAACGCGGCGCTCGGCGTCGACCTCTTGCATGCGACGCTCATCCTCCTCCTCGCGGGCCTTGGCTTGTGCCTCATCGCGCTGGACGCGGGCGATGCTTTCTGGGTTGTAGACGTTCCATGACTTTTTGCCGAGGAGATGGCTGTATTTCGTTAGTAAGAACCGGGGAAAGCTACGGGGTCGACATACAGAGGCATGGTGGCGAGAGGGTGAAGGAGTCAAGGTGGTTATCGATAAGAAGTTAGTACTTGGCCACTCCCAACTCCTGCTCTTCTTCTTCTTCCCCGTTCACATTCATCCGTCGATTCTTCTATCTTGACTCTTAATACCATTTATTATTCTCCATTCCACCTATAGCGTTTTTGGCCTGCCTGGATCCGATCGACGCTTGCTGCCTGCTCGCTCGAGACACAGTGGCCAAAGAGTGACCTCCCTTCCTCTCGATAGCTTCCCTCCTCAACCACACCACTACATCATTTCATCATGTTTAATCGAAACAACCTCCCTTCGGTACCCAATCCCTTCGGAAGTCGACAAGATGGCGGACGCCCGCCTCCGCAAGGCTATGCGAATCCCAATCAAGCCCCTCCACGGTATGATCACAGCCGCGCTTACCTGGCCGGCGCAGCAAATGCAGACCCTACCCGCGATAACGATGTACCGATGACTGATGCGTCTGCTGATCAAAGGGGATACGGAGGCCCGCCACTGCCGGGACGACCACCACAACAGCAACAGATGCCGCCGAGGATGCCGGTCGGAGGACGACCACCACCCGGTGGTGGCCAGACCTGGACCTTGCAGCCAGACAAGAGTCCGGACACCAATTATACGTTTGGCAATCTGTATGTTTGTTCTCATGTTACTCAGAAAATATTAGGTACTGACTCGGAGCAGCGTCGCCGTTTCACCGCAGGATATTCCGCCTACGCGAGACCGCGGTGACATCCTCGTCCTGATCAATGACTTCTTCGTTCTCTCCGCTCGTCCCCTTGATGGCTTCCCTCCCGGCCGGATCGGCATGTCGGATCCCCAGCGGACATGGGCGAATATTGGTTTGCGAGACATGGTCAAAGTGCAGCTGTACGATCCGTTCAGCCAAGGGGGACAGGCTTATTTGGGGTCTGCCGATATCGAAGTCAGCTTTGCATCGGTGAAGAAGCGGCCGCAAGAGCCGTATGATCAGGATGTACTGGGACGTGAAGTGATCCGGGTAAGTTATGGATATCACAAGGATTTGAGGAACGTTTTGCTGACGCACCCAGGCTTTCAATAACCAAATCTTCGCCCCTGGACAACGAATCCTGCTAGATGTTGCAAACGTGCCCCTTCTGTTACATGTCAAGACTGTCCAGCGAGTGGATCTGACCTCCGAGAAAATCGATCTCAGCTCTGGACTGGAGGAGACGGATGGCCTGGCCAGGGGAATCCTCACCACGCACACCCAATTGAACTTTTTCAGGGATAAAGAGACCGGTATCAATGTGAAGTCCTCCAACCGCCGCCCAGCGGCAAACTCCATTATTCAGCCCGGTTTCAAGTTCGAGGATATGGGCATTGGTGGTCTGGATTCCGAGTTCAGCACAATATTCCGACGTGCTTTTGCCTCCCGAATCTTCCCTCCTGGTCTGGTTGAGAAATTGGGCATCCAACACGTTAAGGGTCTGCTACTTTACGGCCCGCCGGGAACGGGTAAAACGCTGATTGCACGGCAAATTGGAAAGATGCTCAACGCTCGAGAGCCCAAGATCATCAACGGTCCTGAAGTGTTGAACAAGTACGTCGGCCAATCGGAAGAGAACGTTCGAAAGATGTTCGCAGATGCCGAGAAGGAGTACAAAGAAAAGGGCGACGAGAGTGGTCTCCACATCATCATCTTTGACGAGCTGGACGCAGTGTGCAAACAGCGTGGCAGCGGAGCAGGTGGCGGCACCGGCGTGGGCGACAGCGTGGTTAACCAGCTTCTGTCAAAGCTCGACGGCGTTGACCAGCTGAACAATATCCTTCTGATCGGTATGACCAACCGATTGGACATGATCGATGAAGCCCTGTTGCGCCCTGGACGTCTGGAGGTGCACATGGAGATCTCGCTTCCGGACGAGAGTGGTCGAGCTCAGATTCTCAAGATCCACACTGAAAAGATGCGCACCAACAACGTGATGGATACCGATGTCGACTTGGTCGAGCTTGCGCACCTGACCAAGAACTTTTCTGGTGCTGAGATTGCGGGTCTAGTCAAGTCGGCTTCGTCCTTTGCCTTCTCGCGTCACGTCAAAGTGGGCACGATGGCTAGCATCAACGAAGATGTGGTGAACATGAAGGTCAACCGGGCTGATTTCCACCAAGCTCTCGCTGAAGTGCAGCCTGCCTTCGGTGTGTCGGAAGAGGAACTTTCCAGCCGTCTTCAATATGGCGTTATTCACTACTCGGACACCATCAATGAGATCCTCCGGGAAGGAGAATTGTTCGTGAAGCAGGTTGGGCAGGCTGACTCGACGCCTCTCTTTTCGGTCTTGCTGCACGGTCCCACGGGAAGCGGCAAGACTGCTCTTGCAGCGCGCATTGCCATCGACTCTGGCTTCCCCTTTATCAAGCTCATCAGCCCCGAGGACATGGTTGGCTTCAATGAGGTACAAAAGATCCAGCACATCAACCGCATCTTCGACAGCGCGTACAAGAGTCAGACGAGTATCGTGGTCGTCGACAATATCGAGCGCATCATCGACTGGGTGCCCATTGGCCCCCGGTTCAGCAACAGCGTGCTCCAAGCCCTCATGGTCTTCCTCGGAAAGAACCCTACTCATGGACGCCGGCTGCTGATCCTGGCCACGACGACCGAGCGTGCGTTGATGAAGGACTTGGACATTTACAACTCGTTCAATTCGGACATCATGGTCCCGAACGTCAGGTCCTTATCCGAGCTACGGCTTATCATGGAGCACTCCGGAGTGTTTGACTCGCAGGAGATCAAAACGGCCCTGGACAATATCGGCGGTATGGATGACTCCAGGTTCAGCGTTGGTATCAAGAAGATTCTTTTGGGCATTGAGACCGCCAAGCAGGATGCTGATAAGGTTGGACGCTTTGTCCGTGTCGCTAACCGGGCCATCGAGCTCGAAGAGTCTGGTGTCGTCAATCGGGCGATGGAGTTCGGAGAGACTGGTGTCGGTAATCGGGCCATCGAGTCTGGAGAGACTGGTGTTACCGGCCCATCGAGCTCGAAGAGACTGATGAATAGTTAGTCGGCGGTTTATATCGAGGTGTGGCTGAGATCTTGGATATCATGGTGGTGCCCCTTTCATTAGATCGTTTGATTGGCAACTTAAATACAGATAGCTGTCCTCAATCTTCATTCCCCTAGGTAGATAGTAGGATCTTCCTGTCGAAAGATGCAAGAGGCAACACATTACTATTCCGGCACAGTATATTGGAGATAGACCGTATCAATCCTAGTCCCCCAATCAGCCTCCATCCATCGTCCTCCTACCAGAAAGAAACGAAGAAAGAAAGAAAGAAAGACAGAAAGAAAGAAAGGAGAGAAACTCACCAATGCCCCCTCTTAAACCCAACTCTAACCAACCTTCCCCGTTCCACAAACCCATGCCGGAGATACCACCTCCTCAGCGCTTCCCCACCATCCATCCCCTCAGGATCAACCGCCATAACAGCAAGCACATTTCTCACGGGAACCCCATCCCCGGGAGCATCAGGAACACCCTCTTCACCGGGCCGATGCCTCACTTCTCCTCTGCGCACGCGGTCCAGCAGCGCAGCTAGTAGACTCGAGCCCACGCCGCGGGACTGATGGTCCGGGTGCACGAAGAGGGTTAGTTCGACCGTTGGCGCGTAGGAGGCTAGATGGCCGCGGAAGGGGGACAGCGATGCATAGCCTAGGGCTTGATTTGGTTGATTGGCCCTGTCTCTGTTGTCCTCGATGGCGACGAGGTAGGGCAGGCCCCGCGCTGTCTGGTCGGATAGTTTGGCGGCGTGGGTGGACGCCGGTGGTGGGGTTTGTTTGAAGGTCAGGGAGGTGTTTTGGATGTAATAAGTGTTGATGGATTGGATCTGGGGCAGATCGGAATGGGTTGCTGGGCGGATTGTCACCATTTTGGTTGATTCTTTTGCGAGTGGTGGTTGGGTTAGGGTGTGGTTTAGGGACAGCACTTGACTCATCCCGAGGTGATCTACAGAGTTGGTTCCGCGGGTCTGACTTTGTATGGGAGCTATACAATTGTAAAGAAGTTCTTCTTGGTAGAGAAAAAGTAAATGGGTGTATTTATTGACTCTTGCCAAACTTGTTTAATAGGTGGAAGATATTCTTGCTGTAAAATATCCGGAGAGATAGTCCCTATCAATGAAAAGCTCTTCGAAAGGAATGGTCAGCGAGGAATTGGCTTGGCTTTCCCATTTATTTCCTTTCCCATGCCTACCTGCACAATCTCTTCGTAAATCTTGTCTTCCGGGTTTCGGACATTGTCAGTAAGACGACCGCTATAGGCGCCTCTTGTCCCTGGCCGCGTCGACAGTAAGCTGCTCGCGACATTTGATTCTAGCTTGAGTGAGGCTTTCCGCCACGAGAGCGTTGTACGTTGCCCGTAGGCACTCGGTACCGACGAAAGTCACCGTTCGTATCGAAGTCGTACGGCCATAGCAGCCCGCGACCCCAGTGTCCCGTACTTGAGGCAGCAGTCACTGGTTCCGATCAACCTTGCGCGAGACATTATGAACTGATCCAAGGATAGGTCACGGAATTTTGGCGATATGCTTTCTATCGACGCCTGAAGCACAGGGTAGATGTCGGGCATTCGACGTACAATGTGTCGGGTGCATTCATAAGCTACCAAGTCGGTGAGGCGAACACCAGAGGGAGGCGCGCTGAGCCTTGTATGGGCTGATGACCATCACGTCGCTTGGGTTGATGCGCCCGCCCTTCAAGAATCGAGACTCGTAAAGGCTCTCTAGCAAGGTCACTGCGACATCCACCTAAGCATTGTTGGACCACGATGTTCCATTGTCAGCCTTGCTAGCGAACCCTTTCGTGCTTATGAACAAGCGCCGAATCTTGTGGAGATGCTCAGGCAGCCTGGAGGTCCAATCAACCCACGCTCTTCCAACTCTGACGGCGCCATTCACGGCATAAGAAATTAATTTGCCCCCATATGTCTCCTTGTTGACGAGAATCAGCAATCACAAGGTG